CGCTCCCAGTTTGGTATCATCCGCAAACTTAATGAGCGTACTTTCTATGCCAATATCTAAGTCGTTGATGAAGATATTGAACAGAGCCGGTCCCAAAACAGACCTCTGCGGTACCCCACTCGTTATGCCTTTCCAGCAGGCTTGGGAACCATTAATAACAACTCTCTGAGTACGGTTATCCAGACAGTTATGCACCCACCTTATAGTAGCCCCATCTAAATTGTATTTGCCTAGCTTATCGATAAGAATATCATGCGAGACCGTATCAAATGCTTTACTAATATCATGCGAGACCGTATAAAATGCAATGATGACTTCCCTGGACTGTGGAGAGACAGCTCTATTACAGCTGTTACCTTTCCTGATATGAAGCTGAATGAAAAAAAACTAGTGTTGTGTTTTCACTGCTGCTATTCAGAACCACGAGAAAGATTACATACATTTCAAATGGCTTCTGCTTAGAACAAGGGTTAGGAGGCAATGCAGACTAACAGACGCATATACCTATCAAAGCAACAGGAGACTGTGACGTAAAAGGAAAAAAGAAACATATATGGACAAAATGCTTTCTCTCCCACTAGCAAGCAAATAAAGCAGAGTGTACAACTTCAAATCTGTATTGCATTAATAGCCTAAAATGAAATCCCCACTAAATAAACACACTAAAAAGCTCAGCACCCTTCAGCTACTGGGGGGCGGGGGGGAAGAACCCGGGCACCCTACAAGGTATTGGCCCATCTTTTACATCAGCTTCTGGCTACTAGGTGCCTAATACAGCTGCGGAGCCCTAGCCTGTTCACTCGAGGAGTGCTTTGGGATCTAAAGCATCACTGCAGAGCAGGGAAGGCCTTTGCGAAGGACTCACCCACCATGAAGTGCCTGCCATCCCGTCCACCCACCTTGGAGGGGAAACGTACATCACCACGGAGGGAACCCCGAGTTTGTAGGCTGCCGAGCAACGTAACTTGCTCCCCCTCACCCCCAACTAAGGAGAGGCAGAGCAGGCTCAGACACGACCGATCTCCGCGCTCTCCCTCCCCCCAGCATTGCCAGGGCACAGCCCCCGGATTTCTTCCCCAACTGCCAGGCCGGGCCGGCTCCTCCCCCGGGCTTCTTGGCAGCCGGCCCCGGGCCCCGGCCCCGGCATGAATTCCGCGGGCCTACAGCGCCCGAGGGAGGCCGCAGCCGCATTCGCGGCAGACCCGGGGGAACCCGCCTTCCCTCAGCTCCCTCAGCAGGACAAACCTGGCCGAACCCACCTTGGAGCCGGAGACACACGGGCGGTTGGCGAAGGTCACGGAATGGAACTGCCGCTGCTGCCGCGCTCGGGACGCTGGGAAAAGAACCGCCAACGAGAGGAGAGGCTAGAACGTCTCCGGCGGCGGCGCCCCTCCCGCTAGCAAGGCCCGCTACCTCAGCTAAAGTGCGCTCTGCCCTCGCCTCAGCGCCCCCTGCCGGCAAGGGCCCCTCAGCGCCCTTCCCCCGCCATGCAACCTACTCAGTGACTTTCCGTTCCCCACTGCACGCCTGCAAGAAAACCCGCGCTTCTCAACGCCCTGTCTCTTATTGCGCCCCCCGCCAATTGCCTTAAAGCCCGCTCGAGGCCCTGCCTCCCCACAGCACCCGCTACTGCGGAAGAGCCCGCTCAGCGCTATGCCCACCATTACTCCCCCGGAGGAGATAGTTCAGAGCCCTGCCCCTTCCCCTATAGCCCTTCGGTGGGGGGAGGGAGCACGCTCAGCTGTTCCTTCAGTGCGACTTCAACCCAGCGCAATAGCCCCCCTGCACTGCCCCGATGGAGAGAAACCCCAACAGCCCTTAGTCCCCCCCACAGCGCCTCCTGCGGGAAGGAACACAACCCGTGTCCTGCATGGCCTTCCCCATGCAGTCTGGGGGGTGGCTTGTTTTAGAGGCAGGGAGCAGGATTTGCCAGGTGGGAGTCATACGGGTTATGGGGTGTGTGTAACTTATGGGGATGGTTACACGGGGATGCTATTGTCCGAGAGATTCTAGGGGCATTTGCTGACCGTGGCTGGGATTCAGGGAGGGAGAGGTGCATTACCCTGGCATGCGGGAGACGTTGGCAGGGATGCAGGAAGGAAAGGGTGCAGTTGGGTTGGTACCCTACGAGATGTGGGAGGGGAGGAAGCTGTAGTGGGGGGTTATCCATAGCACTGCACGAAGGATTTGTAAGGACCAAGAAGAGATGTGAAGGGACCTTCGCGCAAGGCAGCGCAGGAAACAGAGCACCTCGCGTCCTGGCCGCGGCTGCGCAGTGTGAGCACGTGGCTGGAGGGCGGGGCTGCAGGGGGCGGAGCCAGCCAACCGCGCGGGGTGCACGTGGCAGCGCAAGGGCTCTGCGAGTTCGGGTCCGGCCGGCTGTCGCGCGGGAAACCTGACCTCTAGCCCGGCTCTTTACGGCCCGGGCCCCGCCATGCTGCGGAAGCTCACACTCGACCAGATCAGTGACTGGTTCACTCTTGGCAAGACCGTCACCAACGTCGAGTTACTGGGCGATGAGCCTCAGGCCGCCATATCCGCCCCCCGCCGCGGCGCCAGGCCCGCAGTGCGGGAGCCGCCCGCCGCCGGGTGAGTGTGGGAGCCGCCCGGGGAGGGGAGCGGTGCAGTGGTTTGACCCCGCCGCCGGGCCGGGGTTATTCCCCCTGCTTTTGACACGGATCTGGAGCGGGTCCCAGCTGTGGCCTGCCCCACTGCTGTGGCCTGCCCCACTGCTGTGGCCTGCCCCACTGCTGTGGCTGTTTCCTTGGGCGGGGAGGTGGTGGGGAGCGGCCTGGGGACAGGGCCGGCTTTAGGCCAATTCCACCGAATCAGGGCCTGCGCCTAAGAGGCCCCGCACCCAGTGGCAGGGCTGCCAGGTGGGGGCAAGTGGCTGAGAATCCCTTCCCTGGCTAGAGGCTCCTTTTTAATTTTTACTCAGCCGGCGGCACTCCCAAGTCTTCGGCGGCACTTCAGCAGCGGGTCCTTCACTCGCTCCGGGTCTTCGGCAGCTCTTCGGCAGCAGGTCCTTCAGTGCCGTCGAAGACCCGGAGCGAGTGAAGGACCCACCACCGAAGACTAGGAGCGCCGCCCGGTGAGTACAAGCCCCAAGTGTTTTTTGTATGTGTGTTTTTTTTTTTTTTAAGTCATCCCTGCCGGGGCCCTGTCAAAACTGTTCGAATTGGGCCCCGCACTTCCTAAAGCCGGCCCTGCCTGGGGATTAGCGGCAATAGAAAACTCTCTCTGCCCTGGTACCACAGACGGGGACCTTTGGCCCGCCCGAGGCTCCTGAGCAGCGGCGGGGAAGGAGATGGCCTGGCCCCGCAGTGGGGCTTGAACTGGGAGAGCCCTGGAGCCTTGCCAGGGGTGGGCTAATACTAGGACAAAACTATCGTGAGCCAAAACAGGCACACATTTGAGGAACGTAGCCATGAGGTGGGAGCTAAGATAGAGTGAAGTTCTTGAGAGACCACTAATTACAAGAGTGAAGTTATCTTAGCACATTTGGTTTGCCAGAAGATGTTACTTCTCCACAAGCCACAAGGTGGGTATGTCCTGCTTGAGGTTATTCAACCCCCCTCCCTGTTATCTGAATCCTTTCCTTTTCCCACATGTAGCTCATGTTGGGAGGAGTGTGGGGGCAAAAACAGGATTCAGATAACATGGAGATTTGGATAATAGAGAGTAGGTACCCCTGGCCAGGACTGTGAGGAGGAGGAGGAGGAGGAGCCTACCTCCCTAGCTGTGGGGGAAGCTATCCAGCCTGCAGTTGAATGGCTTCTGCAGCAGCACAGGGAGTCCTCTGCAGCTCTGATGTCGTGGGAGTGAGTGAGCAGGACTGTGACAGGGGAGCTGCAGAGGACTTTCTGTGCTGCCACAGTGCTGGTCACACCTGATTCCTGAAGGCTCCAGGTTCCGGGAAGGCTGTGGACTTGGCAGAGCAGAGTCCTGGCTTGGGGGCTGGTCTCTGCTCCTCCAGAACCGCAGCCTTGCTGTCACACATTGGGCTTGCAATAATCGGGAGGGCAGGAGTGGCAGCAAAGGGAGCCCTCTGCATCCTGCTGTTACAGGAGTGAATGAGCAGGGTCATGACAGCGGAGCTGCAAAGGGCTTGCTGCCACTCCTGCACTTATCCAAACACCCAATTATCTGAATAAAATCTCTGTCCCCCATGCTATTCGGATAATTGGGAGTATACTATGCTCATAAATCTTTGTGTCTTACTGTGAATACTCTGCTGTTGATCTCATTGTTTGAGGCTAGCCTTCTTTGGAAGCCCATGTTAGTTATAGATTACAGCAGAGTGATGCTTTGACCATAAGTGATTGATTTTTCAGCCTTGATACCCTGACCGAACAAGGAAGTAGTTTCACAACTCCTTTACCTTTTTTTATTAGAAAATGGCAAAATAGAAAGATACCACTACTTAAGTGGATTCCCATAGCAGAGATCTAGTGCATATAGCTAAAATGTTCATTGTATTAAAAAAATTAGTCCTTTTTTTTTTTTTTTTTTTTAGTCTACACCAGAGAAGGTCAACTCTGGAATGCATAGTATAGGATGTCGGAGTCCTGGAATTGTAAACATTTAATTACTTTTCACTTTCTCTTGCAGAGCGAAAGCTCAAAGTATAACTTCTTGGTCATTTGGGACATTTGACAGTGAAAAAAATGTCCATCAAAAGGCTCAACAGGTTAATCCCCTCTCTTAGGTCTCAGGAATCATGGGATATGCCCCTTTCACTTCTTCCCACCAAAGTCTCCCTGTTCTCAAACAGTCATTGCTCCCTGTGGACTTCCTGAGAATTGTAGGAAAGGAACACTGCTTCTGCAGACCTGATTGTTGCATGATGGTGAGGCTAGAGTGAGTGACCAGGAGAGTGTTCACTCCCTTCCTTTAGACCTACTTGATAATGCTCATTAGTTTCAGGAGGCTTTTTGTAGGGCTGCTGCCACTATGAGATGTAAGCTCACTGGGGACCCATCCCCCCTCTCTGGGTATGTCTGCGCAGCCTGTGGCAGTGAGTCTCAGAGCCTGGGTCAACAGACCTGGGCTTGTGCTATGGTGCTAAAAACAGCTGTGTAAACCTTGCCACTCAGTCCCAAGTGCAGCTGTTTCCTGAGTGTGCATCTTGGACTTGCTGCTGGTTGTAACATAGATATACTCGCTGAGCGTTAGGATGCTTGTGAGGGTTCACTCTCGTTTCCCAGGGTTTGTCATAGACTCTCCAATGAATTAGTAAATATTCTAAAAAGAACGATGAGTACCTGTGGCACCTTAGAGACTAACAAATTTATTTGAGCATAAGCTTTCATGGGCTAAAACTCACTTCATCGGATGCATGCAGTGGAAAATACAGTAGGAAGATATATATACACAGAGAGCATGAAAAAATGGGTGTTGCCATACCAACTGTAACGAGTAATTAATTAAGGTAAGCTTTTAGGTGAGCTATTATCAGCAGGAGAAAAAAAAAACTTGTAGTGATAATCAGGATGGCCCATTTCCAACAGTTGACAAGAAGGTGTGAGTAACAGTAGGGGGAAAAATGAGCATGGAGAAACAGTTTTTACTTTGTATAATGACCCATCCACTCCCAGTCATTATTCAAGCCTAATCTAAAGCTCAGAAGGTATGGGGAGGCCTGTTCCTATGGGTGTGAAAAACTATTCCATGTCTAGAGTTATAGGCAGTTATAAGAGTATAAGCTCTTAGGAAAACGAATTCATGCTTAACTAAACTTTCAGAAAAAAAAATATATTTTTTGAGACTGCCTTGCAAACACTAAATGAAGGCAAGGTAGAAGATAGTGACCTTTATCTCATGAGTGTGTTTTCCAGGTAGTTTTTCATACTTGGAATGTTCTTTGTATTTCCAAGCTTTTCAAAGTTTAGTGTGTTAAAAATTCTAATGTGTTCTTGTTTTGACTACTCAACCTTAACTTCATTGTAACCTTTATTTTTTAATCTGGAAATCTATAGATGAATATCTCTCAAAGCTTCAGTTTTCCTTTCTCTACGTGTTGAGGAACTCTATCGGAGTGTCTTACTGGTATACTGTTGTAGGAGAATAAGCAGAGGAAGTGTTTCTCCATAGTGCCTCTGTGAAAAGAAACTTAGAATTGGGGCCATTTTTTTTTAAATGGTGTGACAGACTAACAAAAGGAAAGAACATCTGGAGAAAGAAGCTTTATGTGTAACAAAAGTGTGCAGAAATCTTTCTTCTGTGATGGTGCGAGTTAAATCTAGCCCTTTCACAATTGCAGCAAAAGTGGGTTTTTGCATCATGTTCATTGATTTTTCTGCTCTAATTGTGCCAGTTGCGGCCACAGTTACTACATGTCACTTGAGTCTAATACAAGGGTAGGCAAACTATCGCATGCCTGCCAAAGGCAGCATGCGAGCTGATTTTTCAGTGGCACTCTCACTGCCTGTGTCCTGGCCACCGGTCCGGGGGGCTCTGCATTTTAATTTAATTTTAAATGAAGCTTTACATACAGCAATAGTTTAGTTATATATTATAGAGTTATAGAAAGAGACCTTCTGAAAACATTAAAATGTATTACTGGCACGCGAAACCTTAAATTAGAGTGAATAAATGAAGACTCGGCTCACCACTTCTGAAAGGTTGCCGAGCCTTGGTCTAATACAACTTTATTATGACCCCATATTGATGGCTTGAGGCAACAACTAAAATTGAAACTTTTGTGTGTGTGTGTGGTTTTTTTAATTTCAAATGCTCAAGTAATATATATCTTCTGGAACAGGTTTTCAGACTCATTCACCACTATAGAAAGCTGATTCTGTAAGATACCAAATCACTGAAAGTTATTCTGCAGCCCTGATTAAGAATTAACTTTTTCAAAGAAAAGCAAGGAGATGAAGTAAAACCACATTTATTTTGAAATAAAAAGGTATCTCTAAATCTCTTCAAGGAGAGAGAACCAGCCACCAAAGCTAGTTAAATATCTAGATTGTTTCTCTTCATTTGAGGAGCTTTGCAGTATTGCAACGTATGCAGAAAACCGTTCAGAAAACTAACCATAAACAGTACAATGTTATAACGTTTGATTATTTTCTCTTTACAAGTTCTTGTTGGACTTGTGAAATAGTTTTCATCATCAGAACTTCTCCTCAGTTATATTGAATAAACTGATTACTGTTTTAAAACATACCTCATACACTGTATATTGTTTCCTTAGAAGAATCTCAAAAAACTATGTAGATTACTGAACAGAAGTCCCTGCTAACATTTTGCACAGTGATCGGATTTTGAAATATGGATAATAGCTATTGCTTATTACAGTAGATGCTATAGGTACAGTACAAACAGGATAGTTTCATCATTTTTTGGAAAGATCTACAGTTATATTTTTTATCTCTTTATATTAAAAGGTTCCTTTAAACACAACATCTTTGGAATAGTAATGGTAAAAAGGGTAATGATTTTAATTAAAGTTTGTAAAATGTATTTAGACTATAATTAGGGATTTAAAATTCTGAGGTTGCAACAAAGGGGAGCATGTCATATTTCTTATTCCTATATGTTTTTACGTCTCTGAATTGGGATGATAAAAGGGAATTCAGATAACTGAAGAAAAATTTTAACTTGATGGATAGTAATATGGAAGATTCCAGATTCGGTGAGAAAAAGTGGGAAACATGCTCTGTGTATTTTTGTCAACGTAACTTGAAACTGTGGGAATTTCATCTTTGTCCGATTTGTTAGAGCTGTCACCAGGCACTGTGAAGTGTTCAGAGCAATTTGTATTCCATACATCTACCAGTTGGTCTTGTTGGTTTTCCTTCTCAATAGTAGTTAGGAAATCTTTTAAAACTTGCTTGAATATGTAGACTATTTCCCAAGGTAAGACATCATTTTCTGCCAAAACTTCACGAAATCTAGAAAAGAAAAGAATTGAAATCTAATTTGTCAGTGTTGAAAACTATTCCAGCACACTTTTCTTCCTCTTCCCTTTTTTTAGGGGGAAAAAACTATTTTCTGGCCTCACTTGTTTCTTTTCTTCTAAAAAATAAAAAAGCTCCTACAATGCATTTGGATGCAGTACAACTGTTAAGATCAGTGGATACTAGGGTGTTTTTTTGTATTAAGCCATCTTGGTAAATTGATTCAAACTGACTTTGCCCTCAAGTATTTTCTGGGCTTTAAAGGGAGCATAGGTTCTGTTCTTCCCACACAGCCCTGGAAAATATATAAAAATACATCATTTGGGGAATTTATATATAAAAATCACATAGAAAAAGTTAATTATTAATGTGTGTTTTAACTAAATGTTGAGACATGCTTAATTGCAATCCCTTTAAAATGTGAAGAGATTGGAGGCTTGTATGTAAAATGTTGTTGTGTTAATACTCTAACTCAATTCTGTGGTCATCAGGTAAATGATGGGTGTCAGATGTCTAAGCATTGTATACCTCTCTGGTACTTTGAAGATCATGCAATAAAAAGGCATTATAGAAGACAGTGTACTGTGTTATAAAATTAAAGAGTTTTATTTCTAGAAAAGCTATAGGAAGCTATACAAATAAGTCTTCATTTAAATTTCTAATCATTGTTACTTTGGGGAAAAAAACACAACCAAATTTTAACAACTTTGAACTGGAATGTTGAACTAGAATAAGGGGGAAATTAATTGCCTAGAAAGTGACAATTACAATAATAAGAAAGAAAAATTGTTACCTGCTAAGAACAGTTCCAGTTTGGCAAGGTTGAATTTGTGAACAAAGGACTTCAAGCTGCCTTTGTTCAGTAGCTGGGATTGTGGCTTGCGGATTTTGGTAGTTCTTCAACCAGTTGTAATCCACACCATTTTTCTGGACTTTTTGTTCATTTTCAATCTCTTGTACTAATCTTTCACGTTCTTTCAGGTGCCATTTCAATTCCCTCAGCAGGGTCTTGGTCACTACTTCTGAGCCAGGATATTGTGCAGATTTGTAGGAATCATTTTTTGACCATTTCATCCAACCAAAAAGCGGCATTTTGTAGCTATGAGAAAATTGAAGATTATAGCGCTTTGTATTGTAAACTGTAGTGTTTGATTTCCATGAAAAAGATTAATGGAAAATTCAGAATGCTTTTTGTGGTGCATTGATATAGATGGGCATATGCTCAATGTTAAAATATTTTGCAATACAGTTTAAGAAATAACTGATCAAAGCCTCCAAACTCAAATTAAATCTGACACGTTACAATTTTTACAAAGATTGAAAGAGACTTGTAGCAGTTTATCTCTTCAATTGTTTTATCTGCACCATTAAATCATACTAAAATTTACTAGACTTTGAAACTGAATTGTCATCCGAAGTAGAAAATATCATTTGATAAATTGTCACCCTGAAATGCTTTTAACATATGACGTTCAAAATAATAAACTTGCAGTTAAAGCAATTCTTAAGCAGTTGTTGATCAATTTTTAGAGATAGGTAGTGTGATTCTGCATTTTTCACTCTTTAAAATTCCATACCTGTATTTTATTTTTAATAAATTTTCTTATTTACTCATTAGCATATGGAAAACTATAATAGAAATAGTTTAAATTACATATTTTTATTTTGTACGTGTAACTTGTAGTCACATTTATTACAAAACAGTACACTAACTTGGGTAAAATAACATACTGTACCTTTGATGCACTTGTTTGTGAACAAGTTGTTGCGGTTGAGTTTGCTGGAATTGAGATCTCTTCTTATTCTAGCATATTCTGTTTCCAGACTATACACTATTGAAAGAAAAAGAGTTTCCCCATTTACTCACTTAAACTGTGCTTGGAAGAATAACTATCTGGACTGAGCATGAGATTTCGATTCCTTCTGTTTTTAAGCTTAATTCATCTTGTAAAGTAGAGAGAAATCCTGTTGACCTAGCATTGGCAACCAAGTACTTTCCACAAAGTCCATTAAGGTCTCCTACCTTTGAATTGAGTTCTGCCTATGGCAGCAATTTAAAAAAAGATGGCAGCGATTTCAGATGCTTGTTGCTGAATACATCCAAAGGTATTGTTGGTCGTCAGACGAATAATGATATCTGAAGCAGCTACAGATGCGCTCCTAGCTAAAGTTAAGACTGTCACATGATGTGATGCTTGGCTGTGCATAGCTGTAGGTCACAATTTGGTGCTGTATTTTTATGCCTTTAGAGCTCTAAAAATAACTGTTCCTTTTATTGTCTGTCTAAACTTTCAGATCATTTAGATGCTAAAGATTTTTCCTCTTCTGTTAGTGTGGGGGAAATGTATATTAGGCTGTTTCTGTTTACAGTTGTAAATGTGTAACAATAATCATTTTCTGGTTAGATCTTGTGAAAGCTCATCTTAACTGAGCAGTGACAGTAAAGAGCGACTTACAAGGTAGTTGCTCAGAGATTTTTAGGCTATTGTAATACTCTGTTTTCTGATGAATTTCATCTCATAGTATTAAAACTGTTTTTAGTTGTAGTGTTTAGCTGTTAGCATTTTTAATTATCATTTCAAATGTAGTTAAAGAAGCAACTTTGCAACACTACAGTACCCCATGGAAAATATATTAATCTAATTATAATGGATAAAGGGTTAGAACAATGGCATAAATTAAATTCAGACTGAAGTAAAAACAGGATTTTAAGCCTTACCATAGAGTTTTTTTCCTCCCTTAACTGAACGTGTATCTCTTGTTCTTTTTTCTTGTTGATTATATTGGAAAATATCCACTTCAAGATTCATTTTCAGGGATGATATTGTTCATGCTAAAGGTCGCTGAAGCAGCCATTTTCCGTTCCAGTTATCAGGTCTGTTCCTATTAATCTAAACAGCAGGCATGATATATGAAATGTCTTCTATTCTGCTCTCTGTATTGTTTGTTTTAATGACTCTCTCTTCTACTATAAGTATTGTTCTCTCCTGCTTTTACCTCTCCACTGTTTTGTTGAACTGTTGGAAGAACAGGGGTTGTGTAAATCTGTTCCAAATGTCATTCAACATAAAGGATGACGTGTATGGATGTTATTAAAGCTGATACTACTTATACATTGGAAAAATTCAGATGTCAGTATTAATCATCTTCAACTGGAAGGTTTTCACATTGCATTGTATATGGTACTATGAAAAAGGAAAAGAGCTGGGCTTATAATGACAGAACTGTCGTCACAAATTTTCAGTTGAAATTAAAATGTTTCCTGCCACCTCTCTTCCAGTATAGTTAGTGTGTCACCACTTTTTCCCCCCAAAAAGTATATCAAATTGTATTGTATCAGAAAATAAACTGTTGTACAATACATAGATTCTAGGACGGGAAGGGACCTAGAGTCCAGTCCCCTGCCCACATGGCAGGACCAAATACTGTCTAGACATTCCCTGATAGACATTTATCTAACCTACTCTTAAATATCTCCAGAGATGAAGATTCCACAACCTCCCTAGGCAATTTATTCCAGTGTTTAACCACCCTGACAGTTAGGAACTTTTTCCTAATGTCCAACCTAGACCTCCCTTGCTGCAGTTTAAACCCATTGCTTCTTGTTCTATCCTTAGAGACTAAGGTGAACAAGTTTTCTCCCTCCTCCTTATGACACCCTTTTAGATACCTGAAAACTGCTATCATGTCCCCTCTCAGTCTTCTCTTTTTCAAACTAAACAAACCCAATTCTTTCAGCCTTCCTTCATAGGTCGTGTTCTCAAGACCTTTAATCATTCTTGTTGCTTTTCTCTGGACCTTCTCCAATTTCTCCACATCTTTCTTGAAATGCAGTGCCCAGAACTGGACACAATACTCCAGTTGAGGCCTAAACAGCGCAGAGTAGAGCGGAAGAATGATTTCTCGTGTCTTGCTCACAACACACCTGTTAATACATCCTAGAATCACGTTTGCTTTTTTTGCAACAGCATCACACTGTTGACTCATATTTAGCTTGTGGTCCACTATAACCCCTAGATCCCTTTCTGCCGTATCCTTCCTAGATAATCTCTTCCCATTCTGTATGTGTGAAACTGATTTTTCCTTCCTAAATGGAGCACTTTGCATTTGTCTTTGTTAAACTTCATCCTGTTTACCTCAGACCATTTCTCCAGGTCATTTTGAATTATGACCCTGTCCTCCAAAGCAGTTGAAATCCCTCCCAGTTTGGTATCATCCGCAAACTTAATAAGCGTACTTTCTATGCCAATATCTAAGTTATTGATGAAGATCTTGAACAGAACCAGTCCCAAAACAGATTCCTGCGGAACCCCACTTGTTATGCCTTTCCAGCAGGCTTGGGAACCATTAATAACAACTCTCTGAGTACGGTTATCCAGCCAGTTATGCACCCACCTTATAGTAGCCCCATCTAAATTGTATTTGCCTAGTTTATCGATAAGAATATCATGCGAGACTGTATCAAATGCCTTACTAAAGTCTAGGTATACCACATCCACAGCTTATCCACAAGACTCGTTATCCTATCAAAGAAAGCTATCAGATTGGTTTGACACGATTTGTTCTTTACAAATCCATGCTGGCTATTCCCTGTCACTTTACCACCTTCCAAGTGTTTGCAGATGATTTCCTTAATTACTTGCTCCATTATCTTCCCTGGCACAGAAGTTAAACTAACTGGTCTGTAGTTTCCTGGGTTGTTTTTATTTCCCTTTTTATAGATGGGCACTATATTTGCCCTTTTCTAGTCTTATGGAATCTCTCCCGTCTCCCATGATTTTCCAAAGATAATAGTTATAGGCTCAGATACCTCCTCTATTTGCTACTTGAGTATTCATGGACAATATAAACTTTAAAAAGCAAGCAGGTGAATACTGGAAGATACATGACTTTAAAACCACAGTGAGCAGTCTTTAAAGATATTGTATCTACAGTGCTTTGCTTGTTACCTTAATGTATTTTGTGGGGATATAAATTGAAAATGTTTAACATTCTACTGGTATAAAACAGTGAAACTCAGCATCCATACTATATATGCCTTCAGATCCTGATTCAGTGAGGAATTAGGGATGATTCAAAGCAGAGCAATAGTTAATCTGGTCTGATATCCAGTGGCCAATCCTGAATGCTTCCTCGGGAGGCATAATTCCTACCACTTACCAGAGTACCATTAGGTGGACATTTCTGCTTGGCCTCAGCTGGCAAATTAGCTTATACCCTGAAGTATTAAGGAATTTTATCAGAATTAGTAAATTATAGCTGCTATTATTACTTACATAAATAAATTCTTATTAAAAATTACTAAGCTGTTTGCCTCAATGATATCCTTCACGTAGTTCCATAGTTAAATTACAAATGGCACAAAGTATTTCCTTCTTAACATTAAATATGTGGCCTTTAAATTGTGAGTGCTCTCTGGTTCTTATTTTATTGGAAATAGATGCATCTAACTGGCTTTTTTGAGATCATTCATTATGTTAGCAATCTGTACTCTTTCTCATCACTCTTGTTTTTCCTTCCTCACCTAGTAGACCTGGGGGAAAACTTTCAGAAGCACTTAAATCACACTTTCAAAAGTGATTTAGGCACTTAGGAGCGTAGGTCTCATTGACTTTAAGACTTAGGAACCTCAGTAACTTCTGAAAATTTTACCCGTAGTCCTTTAACCTCCTTCTCTCCACCCACCCCCAAATCAGTACATTTTTACCATTTTCATTGTCCTCCTCTGAATCTTTTTCAGTCATTTTTAAGATATAATGACAAAAACTATGTGTAATACTTAGGTGAAACCATACCATCAGTTGATACAATTCTGTATATTTTTCCTATCTCTTGCTCAATACAGCAGAATTTATTTTGCTGCTGCAGATCAAGCAGATGTCTTCAATTAGTTTTCCACAATATTTTTTAGCTCTTTCCTGAGATAAATAAATAACAATAATCAGTGTATAGAAAAATCTCAAATTGTAGGCTTACCTTGCAATTTTCTCTAACTTAAACTGCCCATTGTGTTGCCCAGTTATCTAGTTTCCTTACGTTCTTCAGGAATTGATCACAATCCTTCCTATAAATTTACTAATTTAAATTTTGTCATCAAATTGTTACCACAACATTTACCTCCTTTTCT